GCTCCGGTAAAATTGGCGGACGAAATGAAGACTTCTCAGATATCTATATATCTATCATGTCTTTTTATAGAATATGGAAAATTAAACTAATAGTACGTAGAAAAGCGACAAAAAACCAAAAACGAACAAAGGTGTTACACTTAAGCAAATGAATGCACAAAGAACCATGAATAGAAGAACAAAGATATGAGGCATCACGTGCATTCCTTGGTTTTATAATCAGCTGAGCTGTTGATACAGCTTAGAAGTTTTTACTGTTATTTCATTGAAGGACTAACACACCAATGTCGATGTGACTGATATAAGATGCCTTTTCGAGCTGGAATTCAGCTTCCATGCGACCACAATTCGTGTCTTCTTTCGCACATTTCCAAGCGCTCGTGGCATCTGTCTTTCCCTTGCATAAATTTTCAGCTTTAAAGATTGCATCCTATTAAAAAAGAAGCATTGCAATCATTATGAGGGAAAAATAACGAAAAAATTTGCAAAAGCAAAGTTGTTGTCCAACGTACCTCGGTGCTAAAGCGAACTACAAACGTAAACGCTACAGGCGCCATCTTCAAATTTGGCGGGAGAACGAAATACATACCACGTGACCTCAGAACCAGTGCTTTTAGGTAAATTCCTGCTGGTTGGTTGATAATGGTAGACGTTGTGAGGGACAATTTTGAGGATCTTTTTCCAGAGATCAAAGAAGCGATCGAGCAAAGCGCTTTCGTAGGTAAGTAAGAGTTTCCTTAAAGGAACGATCTTGGCTGATAAAGGTTCCTGATAGCGATCTAAACTAAGTATCCGTCAGTCCGATCCATGCTTGGCGGTAACATGAGCCATTATACCAACAAACGTAAGACAGCCAGAACTTTGGATGAAATTGAGCCTAATTCTCCTTGATTGTGGTGCATTAGCCTGCATTGGCAAATAAAAACGCTTGAATGATAGATTTTAAACAACGAGTAGTGAAGGTGTCATCAGCCATTCCCCATTCCCCTCTGGGGGGGGAGGGGGGGGTAGGTGAGGTGGGTGCAGCTGGGGGTGTACTGTAGGTAGGGTACCTGTGCAGGAGGGATCTTCCAGATGGAGTGCTTTGCCAAAGCCCTCAACTTTGTCCTCCAAGATAGGGAATTAGTTATAAAAATATCCTCAATTAGGTCTTAATATTAAACATAGTGAAAAACACATCAGAGATCAAGTTGAAACACTGAACATTTTCTTCTTAAATCATAGCACAACTGCAGACTGATATTAACAATAATTTAAAACCAGACCTGTATGCAAAGAGTTGGCTTGATTATTCATAAATCAGTTTTCGGTTGAAAAATTGTTATATAGCTGATTCAACAGGTATAGTACCATTTAATCATAAAATACTATGATCCATTATTTATTTAATTATAGATTTAATTATTTATTCTATTAGCTATTGATACAGAGTTCACAGGCCTCTATACCACTGATGGTTCTCAGCCAAGGTAAAGCTTTCATTTGTGACATTTTTTTTTATGCCTTGCTGAAAATTTCATATCTTATTCACTTGTTGTTCTCTTACAGTAGTTAAAGATCATCAGAAACAAATTTGTTTCTATCTTGTGCTCATGCAACAGCAAATTTACTTCTTAGCTCAGTACTGGTTGATTGCTCAAAATTACTATTTACCATCACCTTCCCATGGTATACTCAGTCTGTTAAATTGTTCATGATCTATCTTATCTTGTTGAACTGAAATTTGTTTGAAAGATATGCTGTCTGAAGGTTAAGATTTCTGCTTGATTGGGAAACAGATTTTTTTTTTGAAACAATGATCATTTATTAACTGGTTTTGTGTTGTTGTGTAGCTTGTTTGATGGTCCTGAAACACGATACAAAAAATTGAAGAAAACTGCTTCACAGTTTCTGATCAGCCAGTTTGGTGAGTTGTCAGTTGTTATTACCGGTACATGTTTTTCTTAGCTTGAGATTAAAAAGTAGAGAAATATTTAAAATGACTATTATTTTAAGATTTATTCTTTCCTCAGGATTAACTGCCTTTGTTCAGTCCAAAGATGATTCCAACAGGTATGTTTTTGAAAGGACTTCTAGATTCATACTAATTATTTTTGATCTGGCCCCCTATAAAAATAGCTTTGATAAACTTTAAAGTGAAATTTAAAATATTCTCTGAGCCAAAATATTTTTTTTGTTTGTACACTATTTATACTTCCTCCACTTCCAATGATAACCCTTGTGATGTTTCCCACTCATTTCCAACCTCTTTTGTTAAATACCATACAGTTTACCATGCTTCAAATTTTTCTATTATCACTGATTTCAAACCTTGACTGCCAGGAAACATCTCCTCTTTTCCTGCAAACCAACCATGATGATGTGAAGGGAAAAGGGAACATTTACACTAGTGCTACAATCTTATGATCCCTACCCTGGCTTCTTTATTTACCTCCTTTCCCTCCCTCCCCTGAGTAGCTCTCAAGTATTGCTACTGTAGGATTCTTAATTTCCTCTAAATTTCTTTTAAAAATAATGTTTTTGTTTTCTTTTATAGATATGTGGCACATACATATAATTTCTCTTTATTTCCAAATTCATTTGGACCTTTAGATGTCAGATTTCTTTGTCAGGTGACTTTTATCCTTTCATAGTGATAGATCTGATCAATACTTTGCATACTATTATTAGGACAGTTCTGCACAATGTCAGTTCTATTAATTGATCTAAAGTTTAATTATTGATTTATCCTTAAGGACACGGCTATCTTCCTACTGCAAGCCTAAACCAGCAAAGTCTCAGACAATATTTTTCTTTTTTTTTCAGGCGTCAAGTCTGGAATTCTTGTGTCAGCATAACTTTGATTTCAATAAGGTATTCAGTGAGCCTGTTCACAAAATTATTCCATTCTTCCCCAATTATAAACTGTTTTGGGCTCAAACCTAAACTAATGATGTTTTAATTTTGTGTCTCATAGTATCAAACTCTCTCCAATTTTTAAGTTTCAACTCCATCAAGTAACATCTTTCAGGCTATCAGTAGTCAGGAAATAATTATAAGTTATTACTCTGATCTCTTTTCAGACCAGCAAGTGTTAAAACAAATTTTGTCAGGGGATAATTATAATATTTTTATCATTTTGGAGTGAAACAGTTTCATTGTTGTTCCTTGTCCTGTTATTTGTTTATCTATTTATTTATTCAAGACATATTTGATATTCAATTATCTTTCAGTTTGTTTATAATGGAGTTTCCTTCTTAAATAATGACCAGGTAGTGTAAATTACTTGTGGCATGTATCTTCCCATGTTTTACATGTACTTGTTACACTTTGTTTACCACAAATATATAAGGAACTATGTAGGGTGTATGCGACGTAGCTGTGTGTTTGTTATGTTCTTTTACAGTTGTATTGTTTACATAAGCTATGTGTTAGGGTGATAATTTATGTAAGGGGGTTCACATGTCCTGCTCAGGAGAACAACACATGTTTTGAAGTTGGTCTTTTGCAAACATAGGACTAGAATTAACTGCAGTATGTGTAGAAATGTGTATGATAGAATCCTCTTGTTGTCTCAACCTGTTGTTTGTGTACCAACACCTTCCCCCTCCCTCATAAATGTAAGATCTGCAGAAATATCTATGGATATTCACCCTGTGGAGGTTTACTGGGGATTGAAAATTTAAAGCATTTAGGGTAAAAAAAAGTCAGGGAGTGAGAAAACCAAAGTTGTGTCATCATCGTGGAATTACAGTGGGGTTCAAAGGGGAAGACCTTAAACAAAAGGAATCAACCATGGGAATGGTATGGATAGTTGCTGGTACAGCAAATTATCGTCTCTATGAGTTTTAAAAAAAATTTATTAATTCTCTTACCAGCTGACTGATCGCATTTATGGAAAAGTATCTTAAATTTTTTTTTCAGTTATTGTTAGTACAAAAGTTCCACAAAAATCACAATCTTTATGAAAGTTTCCAGTCACAAACCCTAAGGTATTTAACCAATGATATTTTGTTAGGTAGGGAAATCCAAAATTACAATTGCTTGCTACTAGTTCTAGTTCTGTTTTCTAGTGGTTAGGTTTTTCATAGTTAAATTAATGGTTCAAGATAACAAAGTTTGTAGCAAGCAGGTAGCTCTTTAACATGTGGCTCTGAAATTTTGGAATGCTGTTCCCCTTGTCAACATCTTAAAGCTGCCCGGAGTATTGTATCTCATCTAATACCAGTCCACCACCAGCATTTTTATGGGCTTCTCTATCAATTCATACTTCTGCTAGAGAAGCACTTTAAGAGTTCCTCCTCACTCCCAAGATCAAAACATCAATTTTCTGCACTGTCTCATTTTGCTTGATTTTTGCTTTGGGAATTTGGTGTGAAAGAATGCAACATGAAGACCAAGCAAGGAGTGAGACATGAATCTCTTTCTCCTTTGTCTAGCATGCTAGGCACCAAGCACCCAAAACTCCCAGTGAGAGTAACTCATTTATTAATTAGGAAAAAGTGATGTGAATTTACTTTTTCCTGCACAGGATCATAGATGACAATGTTCTGACTGGATACTGTGCAAGGCTGGAGGACTGGATCTTGACAGCACAGGCTGGAGATGAAATTGAATTTAACCTTGGCAGTTGTAAGTTTGAATGCAGATGGAACAGCTCATGCTTGAAAATGATATAAATTGGAGCCTGTTGAGAACTTAAATTGAGCCTGAAATCTGAAAGTTGTAGAGATGTATTTCATAATTCTGGGGTTTGTGCAGAACCAATATACCACGTTTTTAATCATAGCAGCATAGATTTTTGTTGAGAAATTTTATGAGTCAAGATGATGAAGAGCTAATTTTCTTTCCAATTCCTTAAACCACCTCCCCTCCCCCACATTAGAGGGCTTGATCACAACCTAAAATGTTCAATTATTGTAATATTTCTGTACTCCAAGCAAGTGATTATTAAGTTATTTAATAAATGTTTAAGTGATTACCTTTAAAATTCTTCTAAATAAGGAATCTGACAACTGATGTCAGGTTTATCATCAAAGGTGTTGGTGATCACATCTGTTCTCTGCTGATTTTTATCAGATCAAGCTCAGTATCTTCTACTGGAGGAAATAAGAACAAGATTTACCAATGTCCACTGCACAATCAAGAGGCAGTATAAGGTAAACAATGTTGGAGGAAAGAGACATTTTACCCCAAGCAGTATGTCTCTTGGATTATTGGGCAATAAAGAACAGAGCTGCACACTCCTGATCAATTACCTCTCATAAAGTGGCTATGAAATTCGGATAACAATTTAAAACCAAAACAATTTTTAGTGACAGACATACCCATAAAACAGACATCTCTATGAAAAATTGGTCCCTGCCATTCTTGTTGAAATTTCTCAGTTATTTTTGTGCAATTTACCTTGTGATCTCTTATGAATTATTTCATTTCCTATTGTGTCTTTCTAGATGCTAATTACAAAACTACCCATAACAAACCTTGAGTCTGATGGAGAGAGAAACACAGATCTAATTTCTCAAGAACAAGAAAAGTAAGGAGGTGATAAAATGATATTATTCACACCTAAGAGCAACTTTGTTGGTGTCACTCAGTAACAATTGTTTGACACATGCAAAAGAGATGTTGAGAGGGATTGAAAAATTAGTATTTTATGAAATCTGTAAATTTTTCTGGAATCAGGCACAAGATTAAGTGTAATCACCTCCCTCCTCTCTCTTTGTCCTATGCTCATTACTTGTTGAAATTTTTATTTAGTTTTTTTCTTACTGTATTGATTTTTTTATTTATCCATCTTATGATGTTTGTTTTTATCTTGATAGAATATTGAATGCATTGTTGGGGTTTTCCAAAGTTTTCCAAGTTCTAACATCATGTAAAAAGGTACTTACATTTATTACAGTCTGATGATTGCAAATGGTCTCTTAGTTAGGCTCCAATAAATTTTATAAGAAGCAAACATGAACTAACAAAGATAATACACACACTCTTATTAGTAAAAAACTTATCATTTTCAGTATTGGTAAACTCTTAGCTATTTTAAAAAGCCATAGTTTGTTTTATCATACTTTGTGATAGATGAATAAATAAATAATGATTAATAGCATTATAGTGTTTGAAGTGACTTGATGTTTATAAAAACTTCTTTTTGATTGAATAATCAGCCTATTGTAGGACACAACGTTTTAACGGACTTGCTGCTAGCATATGAGAATTTTTATGAACATTTGCCAGGTACGAACCTATATTCTTTGGTAATTTTCTTCTTGCTTGTTTTCTTTCTTGTTTCCTTGTTTTCGCTAAGATTTGTGTGTTAAGTATAATTACTTAGGAACAACCTGGGCTTCATGTATTTTTTAACTATTTTGTTAATCATAAATTTTTTTCTACAGAGAGTTTTAAAGATTTTAAACTGAAACTTCACAAAATTTTTCCAGTGGTTTATGACACAAAATTGGTTGCCTTTGAAATTAGTAGGAATCCGGTGAGTATATGACTATTAATTGGTTAGTCGAGAAGTCAGAAAACATTCCATGTACTTTGGTTTAATCAACTGAGTTAATATTGTAAATTAACCACCGCAAAGAGTTTCTAAAGCTGACGTTTCGACCCCGGCGTGTTTTGAATCACATAGTCGTAAAGTCAGAACCAAGGTAATGACAATAGCCAATCAGGCAAAGCAAAAGGTCACAAGACGCCCATGCTTTATCGTTTGAGCTGACAAGATCGGGAACTTAAGAATCATGACAGATGAAACTTATTTGACTTCAGCCTCAGTTACGTTCATTCATGTTTACTGAATCAGTCCATTTGTTTTGTATTTAGGTCTTTTCACACTGTAACTTTTTTGATGACACAAACTTAGAAAACCTTCACAATTCGCTGTCAAGGTATGGAAAACATGGTTGGTTTGACAGTCAAGAATACTTAATCGTTTTAAAGCTCGGATAGAATAAGGAGAAGCTATGAGAGTAAGATGAAACTGAAGTGTGGCAGCCTGTATTTGAGGGATAAAAGAAAAGTTTATCCCCTTGTTTATGATGAGATTTGAAAGAAATTGCTAGTACCACATAACTAGATCGGGTTCTGCATATTTGTGACCTATTTCAAGGTTTCTGATTCCTTAGGGAATCTTGTTCAAGACGCTGATGGTAAAATAGTATTCCTCTAGACCCCAAAAAAACATACCTTGTTGTACGACATATGATCATTCAAGCCACACAAGGGAGGAGTGCCCCGCCCGCCCGCCCCCCCACATGTGAGTTTATTACTAACAAACTTTACCACAGATATGTTACTTTATATTGAATGTACATCTTTATTTTTACTTTGTAGTAGTGACGCACGGTACTTTGCCCTTTTCGCACCCTCTGTGGTATTTTCCGAAAAATGTTACAGATACCGTAAGTACATGAGTCACAAAAGCTAAATTATATGCTTATGAGACAGTACTAGAGGCCTAGTAAAGATTTTTTTGATCAATATCAGTATCAGGGAAACTGCCCACCTACCCCTCCCTTAACCCAACATTAAAACCTTAACAACCTTAACTTGTTATCAATAGATTGTTGTTGGGTTTGGGGAGGGGTAGGTGGGCAGTTGCCCAGCTACTGATATCGATCCGATTTTTTTTGAGAAATCAAGGATGCATACTTTTACATTTGTTTCATGAAACTTAGCTGGAAAATGTTGAAAAACTTTTTGGTGTTCGTTTTTCTTCCTGCTATTTTAGTCGACGAGAAAATGCCTCATGAAGCTGGGTATGACTCATTCCTCTCCGGTTTTGGTAAGTAGTGTAACTTTCTTTTAACCATGCCAGTTGTTGTACAAATCGCGGGAATTCCTACTTTTGAAAGGACAGTGATGAAACGTAGGGAACCCAAGCGCGCACAGTTACTTGAAGGACAAATTTAACTGCTTATGACGCGCTTTGATCTCAAACAATTAGCACTACCCTCTAAAGAATTGCAGCAAATTTAGTTAGGAGGTAAAGAAAACTCGTAACCACCTGTCATTATCCAAGTCTAGCAAACGTTGCTGGATTATTTATTTCAGGAACTCAATAGAACAACGTTAAAACAAACAGATGTTGCTAATACTTTTTGTATATCTTAAAGAGTGATGCTTACTGTATTAGTATTTATTCTTCTCAACAGTTTTTCTTCGGATGGCACATATGCTGGCATATATGGGATCAAGGTAAGTGACTCGTTATCGTTCTTGACCAATCATACTGCATTGATAAGGATTCATGGCAGTCTTAAATAGTGTCTTCTGATTGGCTTCCCCTAACATCGTCATCAGTATCACTTCTAGTCTCAGAAACAGAGCAATTTTAGGATCTTCAATGTACAAACCCAAGTTTTATGATGCTTCTTGTTTAACTGGCATGTCTCCATTTAAGTTTTCTGTTAATCTACAGAAGGTCTCCCGAAGGACCGTTACCATTTTCAAAATTCCTTCGCGTGTTAAAGCCGTACGAGAATCTACTACATTTGAGCAGAGCACAAGTACAATATGTGGTATGTAAGATGGTCTGAACAATCAACATCTCTTTGTAGAAACCTCATCGTTATAGTCATTTCCTATTCTGATTGGTCGCAATTATTCACATGATCAGATCAGTAATAACACCGAACAGTATCTGGCGATAGTATCCTGTCAGTAAAAACCCAGCATGCGACTTATGATTGTAAAGTTTTAAATGCTTTACTCACTGCGATTGCATGTGAGTGAACTTTTGTGCTTAATTTAACCTTCTCACAATGATTGCCGTTAACAAATTCTTACCATCTTTTTACCTAGAACTTAGCTGGTGCGGACACACCCTCTATTCGACCTCAATGGCTTTACGTTACCTCCAAAGAAAAAACCAAGCCACTAATTGCCAGGACAGTAAGTTCTTTTGTTGTCATACCTGATCTGATAACTTCTCTGTAATATTTTCAAACTCCTTTATACAGTGATAAAAATCAAGTTCTACTTTTGGCAAATTGTATCTTTTGACAGTTGGCTCAGGAATTTGCACACTTTAGTTCCGTGGACGTCAAAATTTTAGACTTGCAACACGCACTAGTAGCTGTCCCTCATCGTAGAAAGTGAGTGCTGTGTACTTTTTTCCCTACTTTAAGGCGGTTTTTAAGGGTGAATAGTAATGTTATGCAATCGCTTAAATGTTGTAGTGTAGTGGGAATCTAGCCCAGGGTGTGCATTCGCTGAATTCTGTTCGGGTCTCATTTTGTTCTCCATAAGTCGAGCTTATTCCATGCAAACTGTACATTGCATCATACAGTTTAGGGTACGTCGTTTCCATTTCTCACTTTCTACCATGGGCTACTATGTTGAATATTCCCCATTATTGACAAGCCGTGACGAGGCCAGCTAAGTTGATGGCTCATTTTGTTCTTTTTTTTCTTCTTTGCTTCATTAAAGAATGCCCAGCTGATCACTGACGCCTTAGTTTCAAGTTGCCTTTTTATGTTTCATCAATTTCTTTGTGTTGAATATGTCTGAAAGCTTACCATCGCAGTTAAATTGAGATCAAAAGGAATGTATTAAAAAGCGTGTTTCATGGTTGTAGAGTAACCTTGGTAGTTTAAGTACTACCTGCTTTAGCAATCTGTGAATCATGCGCAATATGAGGCTTTTAATGAATGATCTCATCAAGAGAATTGTTCTGAATTGGATATTGGGCCTCTTTTAGTAATAATTTACATCTGAAATTCATAATCTTGCTTTTTGTCCTCTCTCAGAGCAAGAGAGGTCTTGCGTACATTTCGACACCACAAAACGCTCAGTGTAAGGCAGTACCACCCACTTTTAGATTCACCTGAGATGAAGGTGGCTCTGTGGTAAGTGAAGCTTGTTCGAAGATGACGTATGTTTAGAGCTCTTTTTGTTTCGACAATTATTTATTAGCAATTATTCTTCAAAACATTTTTCCTCTTCAGGAGGAAATAAGAGAAAAGAAAATTCGTATTTTCAAAACATAAGACTCATATGAAACTTGAGTTTGAAAAACCGTCCAACTGACATCGTATTACTGGGGTATAAGAGCAAGTTTTCTTTTGCAGGAAGGGGACGGAAACTTAAGTCGGATTTTTTTCCACTTATTCCCGACAGTTTATACTTATCCAAAAACTGTCAAGATCAAAGACTTCTCTGCTCATGTATGCCATTTTCCCTTACCCTTGAACTACCAGAGATGACCAATAAGGAATTTGTCGTTCCAATATCAACACTTTTGCGAGAGGAAATGTGATGGGAAGAAAAAAGAAAACAACGAGTCAGAGTATATCATTTGACTTAAAACCAAATTCTCCGAGCTGAAATCAGAAGAACTGTCCTGCAGACAGTACAGAGAATTTATACTGAGGTAGTGAGATTAAAGTGAATTGACAAGGAAAACTCCCTTGTGAAAATCCAGCGGAATTTATTTCTTTTGCCTTGTAGACCAAAATATACAGTACCCTCACAATTCTTCTTGGAACAGTACAACCCTCGGACTTTTGAATCTCAAAAAGATCTGAATGAAATTAGACTCGAATCTGAATGCAGCACACGTATGACGGCCGGGGGTACTTTTTTAGTTTCAGCTGTTGATATTTTTGTCCGGTGCATAGATGATGCATTAGATGGTCAATGTTTTCTTTTACACAAAAGTGTTTTATATCTGTCATTTGTACCATGATTTATGCACGCCATTTGCTTTGTTCTTGGTTTGCCAGGTGTGGCGGAACTGCTGTGATCTTTTCGGCTGTTGCGGTGTTTCTGTGGAAATCGTGGACATAGTTAATTTATTTTACCAGTCAGAAACAAGTTATCACTGAAATTCTGTTAATTTGGTCTGTTTCTTTTTTATTTTATACTAATGTAAAGTAAATAAATTGCGGACACAGCTAATAAAATTCGCCAACTGAAGTTTCTTCTCTTCTTTCTTTAAAAATTTTTTTTCTTATCCATTAAGCTAATGTGGCATTCACACGCAAGGTTTTTTTAATCATCGATCGTCTTCTTTTAACTTTAACAGTTATTACTGCGTTTATTCATTTTGAAGGATGAAAATCCCGGTTTTTCAGGTGTATTTCCATCTTTCTAATTTGAATTTGCTTCTTGTTATTAAATTTCTTACGATATTTATGAGGTATCGTTATTACAACTGTAGTGACCTTATTGTTACAAACGAAGGCACGTAGCGGTATAAAACAAATTCATTTGCCTTCTGCAGGGTCCGGATTCTCTTATTGTTTGCCTGTTGTTTATACAATAAAGGTCACTTTGAGGAGTCAGGTAGACTTATCGTTCATCTTTTGCTAATACAAGACCAACATACATCTTTTCATGCATGAAAGAAAAAAATTACTACATCTTCACTCAGGTGATCGACGTTTTTCCATGTCAATGCGACATAATTTTTGAGGTGTGAATTAACGCCGAAGAATACTGAAATTGCTTAAGCCTTACGCAAACAATGTCACTACAAAATGGTTGTAATTGTGTCCTTTAAAACATAGCTACAGCAATTTCTTTGTCATTGTTGATCAGTGCTTAGTGGAGCCAATCAACGCACCGATAACGAAGTCACTCAAGAGAAAAATCAATAATTTAACATCCCTACGAGAGTTTGATCGGCGTATTAACATAAAATGTGTTGGTCTGTTTCTACGACTGAAAACGATGGAGGCGCTCAGTGAAGAAGTCGACGATGACAGCGACGTCGCAGAAAATCGCCTGCTAAAAACCGAAGGTTCTGGCTGTGTTTGTAGCAAGGGGTGGGAAAAAGAATTCATTTGCGGATGGGCGCCGTCGTTTGAGCGAAAAATTTCACGGAAGCCAACGAAACACGCGTCGTTAAGCAACACGCGTAAAGATGGAAAATTACCGCGGGCAGAATGTGGATTTGTTTTTCGACATTATGAGAAAACTAGTCGCTACATCGAGCAGTACCGAGAAAATCACAGCAGTGCCTTTCTGGAACGTGGGGAGGAATGGAGGCCAGTATTAGGAGTTGATGTTCCAGATCCTTACCTGCCTAAGGTCGGGAGTTCGAGGTAAGGTTTGTTGACATGATTTTTTTAATCGTTTATGTGGAGCCTTATCTGGTTTGAGCCACATTATACCAGTGGGAAAATTCCTTCTTAAAGGGAAATATAATGCGGCCAAAATGACTCTAAAATTTGTCAAACTTTCAGAGTATAACACGTCTTTATATTTTTTCTTAAAAAAACCCTGAAAATTTCGATACGTTTCTCAATGTTGGTAGGCATGGTTTGCTCGCCTTTGGTATATAAACAGACACTGACAAGTTGATTGAAATTATATGACATTTGTTGTTTGAGGAAACTACCTTCTGAACTGAGTAGACTGCAAAGCAAACCACAAAAATTTTATCCGTTGTTTTCCTCGGAAGAATTTATTTTGAAGTTGCGAAACGCGGTTGAATACATAAATAACAACATATTGTCACTACGCGAAACCTTGTGTTAGACGTTTTCTTCTGTACACTCGTATTTTCACGCTAATGTGTTTATTCGCTGGTTAACATTTTGCGCTGATTTTGCCCAAGGGGCTGGTAGGTGATTAGACACTACAATACCTGTAAACCGTATTTTAATTTTTTTTCCACTAGTATAGTTTTCTTACTAATTTTTCATGGCGATCTTTATCTGAAGAGGTACTTAATGGTGCTCCGTCGGTAAATATTACGAGTTATGAATGCCGTTTTTACTGTCACGTAAAAGGGGGCAAAATTGCTGTAAAATGATTACTTTATTTAAGGACGTCTTCCTCTTTATGATCACTACTGTTGGGCGTCATATTTCATTGCCTGATCTTGCAAGCACGTACTTAGGGTTATATTCAGCTCATATGTGCAATACAACCTATTTCATCATTTCATTCAGGTTTACAAAACGTGTTTCCGCCTCTTCTTTTCCGATGTGCTCCCCCTTAGAAATTAAGGGTAGTATGAAAAGTTCTCCTTAAATTTTTTACAAGAGACACCAAGTATTAGTACTACCTTAGGACGGAATACTAGTCCATCGCGAATTAACCTCTGAATTTTTCCAGGTTTCCCTGTCTGTCCACAGACTCTCTATTTTCACATAGATCGTCGTCCAGAGCACGAGCCAAATAAGAACCGCGGTTTTTTTGTTTTTTTTCACGAACGCGAACATGCACGAAAGTGGGTGGGAGAAAAATAAAGTGGCTCTCGCGCTCTGCACACGTTTCTATGTGTTCGCTCTGCGATTTCTCTTTAACTCCCAAGATCTGATTGTTAATTCTCCCCTCTAGCTGCTACACATTTCTTTGTAAATTAGCCATAAGAATTTGGTGTTAGATCAAGATAGCAGCTTCTCCCTGATAGGTTTGAATATTCTCATTCCTGTTCGCTGAATAATGTATTGATATTATAGGGAGAAGTTTCATGTTAATCACTTGTGGGAGTTAAAGGGTTAAGGTGTGAAAAGACTGGTGTACTATAGTTATATATTGTTCTGGTTGGCAAGTAGCACTGTGAAATAGAAAGCTCCTCGCCTAGTCTACCCTCAGATCACCAAAGTACACTCGCTCTTTTTCGATTTACCAGTCGGTTATGTTTATTTCTTCTCTGCAGCTTTTTCACCAGCTGCAAAGATATGGATAATTAATGTCGCAATCTACGCTAAGTCCGTATATTGCGCCTCGGATATTGAGTAGTACGTTTTTGCGTCATCACATCACACACGTTTTTCTGGCTTATACAAGCAAATAATTTCACTTTATTGATCACACCTCACATAGTGTGTAACCATTCTATGCGCCCTACAGAACGAAAGAGGCCGAGATAGTATCATACACAATAAGGTATAGGATATATTTATCCTTCACATTTTCTTTTTTTCCCATTAGCTGCGATAATTTTCCTTAAGAATTATTCGTCGAATTCGGCTATAAATCACGGTACAATCATGTTAGCTTGAAACTTATTTCTATCGGTAATGAGTGCGGAAATGTGTTGATCTTCTAGGAGTTGTAGCGTTGATGCATTAAGGACGTGGCCTATCAGATATGTTTGCTTCTGGTCATAAGGTTGTTCGCACCTAATTCTTGTAACTTTTGGTCATTCAAACGTGACTTCCACATTCGTGATCTCAACGCTGAGGAAAATATATTATAAATTCTTGAGTTTAATAAGATTCCTTATCAGTCATGTTGTTATTATCACTTCAGCAAAACTGTTTTTGACCGGGTGAAGTTCATTGAGGCCATGTCAGACTACTACAAAGTTGCAGCTATGAGGAGGTAAGAAAGTTATTGAGATTAGGAGGGGGGG